GCTTTCCAAGAACCTACAAGCTCTAAAAGGCCTAAGAGCCTCTGCTCCTAGCCCTGGATGTTCCGTACGTGGCAGCTTTTGGCCGGGATAGCCAGCAGCAGTTGTGTGCTAGCAAACCTCTGCGGTGCAGAGATTAAGTGCCATTTGTCTCTGGGGCACTTCTGTGCTTTTTCACCTGCATTTCCTCAGTGTTTGTCCGAAAAAGCACAGAAGCAGGCACAGCAGCTGCCTTAAGAACAGACAAGTCTGGCTTTCAGCTCCATATTTAACATTCAACTCTCCGTGCAGAGCAACTCCGAGGTCTCGAAGGAGCCGCAGCCAAAGAAAACTCTCTCCAACAACTTTCCACTCCTACCAGCCATTGCTGGAACAGTCCAAAATATCCTGCTGGAAAGTGAAGCAGACACTKCTGCTGGGRGGAGGAGGAGGCCTCAAAGCCCCATCTCCATCACTGCAAACGTAAGCCAGTTAAACAGAGACGTAAAACAGGAGGAGGGCAGGGTGAAGTGGAAGATCCCTCTTAAGTGACGGTTGTCTCACTGTGATTATTACAAGTTTTGGTTAAGATTCAGCAGTAAAATTGAGTACGGAAAGGCTTTTTTTTTAAAAAAAAAAGTGCTTTGAAAGTTGTTTAGTTATGATCTGGAGGAGGGGAAACCAAACCAACCAAAAAACCTTCCTTTACTTCACAACAAGGAAGGCAGCCCTACTCTTAGGGCTGCACATCCCCAAAGCCCAGGCTGCTACAGTCTAACAGATGCAGGCAGAGAATAAGGCAGATCTCCCGCAGGCTCCTGTCAAATCTTGAGGAGCCAAGTGCCTCAGATGGCTTTTGTTACGCCAGATCAGCTACCACGCAGTGCACTATAGTTCCTGACCAGTCTACAAGCACGTGAAACCGTCCCCCTTCTAACTTTCCCAGGTCCCAAAGAGACCGACAAACAGGAGTTCAAAAGAGACCTGGGTGACTGGGGTGCATCCCAAGCACAACTAGCTCAGCACGGAGCAGAACACAGAGAGCTCCACCTTCCCATCCCGGTAAGGAGCCCAGTTCCCAAGAACAAACACGGAATTTGTAGCAACCCTTTCTCCACTGTTTTTCTGCAGGATCAAATCGCTTCTGCGTCGGACATGGAGACAGGCGGCGCGTTGGGCACTTCCAAGCTGCCCCACATCCCATCTGCTTGGGCATAATGGTGCAAAAAACGGGCCGGAACTGGCCGCTGTGGTCACATCTTGACCGTGAGAAGAACTTCTCCTTAAACCTCTGTTGTTCAGTACTCACCACATCCTAAAAGTGGAAGGGATTATTTTTCCCCCCAAACTACTGGACAGATTCAAGGCTTTGCTATAACAAACCTGAACAATATGAACGTTTCTCCAGAAATCTGTGGCACCCATCACAGACACCGCTAAGCCCGTGGCCTTAGGGTAAGCTCCAGCAACACAAGTTCTGCAGAGTAGTAAATGTCTTCCTGTCCATCCCTCTATCCATCATATTCCTTTTATTTTCCCGTTCGGTGAACGGCCTTCCCTCCAGGGAGGCAGCTCTGCGGTTTCGGAAGTCACTCCCGCTCAAGACCTTTACAYGGGAGTGTTCCCGGCCTTGGCACAGGGAGCTCCCATGCCCAGCGCTTYCCACTCCTCCTCCTGCTCCCACT